CCCCTGTGGCCCCCGTCCTCTCCTCTCCCCCCTCCCACCCTCCTTCTCCTCACCCTACTTTTCTCGTGGCAACCCTCTGTACGCTGCATGCCAATCCTTCCATGCTTCGCATGATGACTCACCCTCCATGCACCCCCACCCCCCATGATCCCCCAAAAGGCCCCTGGAGGCCGCCAACATGCAGTCTGAGGCGGCGCAGCGCCGCCACGACCTCATGGCGCCGTCAGAGGCGGCCGCCGCCAAGGCCGCGGCGCGCGTGGCGACGCTCGGGCAGCAGGTGGGGGGCGCTGGCCCTTTTTGAGCCGCCGGCGCGAGAGCAGCACCCCTGTGCCTGGGGACGCGTCCAAGTTTGCGCCGAAACTCCCTGCCTGGCATCGTGGGTGGCTGTGCATGTGATGGGTTTTGCTCGGTTGCATTGCAGCGAATGCGGCGCCAAACACACGTTGGTGTTTCTGCGCGCATGCGTTTTCGCCCCTCTCTCTTTTCTCCAGATCACTGCCTGCGAGTCTGACCTCGCGGCGAGCTGGCGCAGGGCGGCGGAGTGGGGGGTGCCCCTGGATTACACAGACGGTGGGTGGGGGTTTCAAGTTTGGCATTGAGATGCCATTTTTGTGGGAGTGGAAGCGGAGAGAAGGGACGCCGCTGCATGCGAAAGCAGAGTTCGGGCCGGGCCGTGGTCAAGTCGCGACAGCCTTGTATCGAAGCTCGCCGGCCGGGGTGGCGCCCACGGACGCTGCACCGCGCGCACGTGCGCGCGGCGACCTTGGCCGGCCTGCTTTGAATGCTGGAACGAACACGCGAGCAGAAAGGCACATGCGGCCGCGTGAACGCCGCACGCATGTGCGCGCCGTCGCGCCCTCCGCGCAGGCGCTGCCGGCCCCGCGGAGTGGCTTGGGGGACTGGCGGAGGTGCTCACAGCGGCAAAAGCTGCAGAGGCGGACCATCGGCGGGCGGCGCTGGAGGCAGCCGCGGCACCGACGGAACAGGGGGCCGCCCAGGGCGGCGGCCCCACCGAGCCCGTGGCGGCGGCGGCGGCGGCGCCCATCGTGCTGCTGAGCCACCACGTGGGTGCTATTTAGTGCCTGTGTTGTTCCCGGGGATGGGTCAGCAAGTCCAGTCAAACACGTCAAACTTGGTCAAGCGATCCCAATTTGCCGGCCAGCGCCACTGCGCCATCTGGTCAAGACCCTTGCAGCCACGATGCTTTTTTGTATCACCACAAATCCGCCAGCCCGCTACCTGCACCCAACAAGCCCGCTCCCATGCCCCTCCTTCCCCCTCTCCTCCGCCCGCCCCGACCCGTTTCCCGCGGATCCCACGCGCACCACCCCACCGCCGCTGGCCCAGGTGTCGGAGGCGACGGCCGGGTGGGAGTCGCGGGGCCTCGCGCAGCGCGGCGCCCTGGAGGGGCTCGTCGGCTCCGCGTACGCGCGCTCCTGCGAGACTGCACTGCATACACTCCTCGCAGCCGCCAACGCGCCAGCCGCCGCGGATGTCGGGAATGCAGTTGGTGACGCGGCGGCCTCGGCGGCAGGGATGCAGTTCCTTGACTGCCCGCCGGAGCGGCGCGCGATGTGGCGCCTGCTGCTCGCCGGCCGCGCGGGCGGCGCGGCACCGGACGCATTGCAGGAGGGGCCGCCGGGCGCCGCCCTCGACGGCGGCCGGCGCCTGCCGCCGCTGGCCCGTGTCCTGGCGTCGCGGCTGGACGCCGCCGCCGCGGCGTCCGCGGCGGCGTCGGCGGACCCCCAGGCCAAGGCGGCCGCGGCGGCGGTGTTCAGGCGGCTGCTGCGGGCCGTCGAAAAGCGCCACAAGGCGATGGCGCGGGATGCAGCCGGCCACGAGGTGCGGGGGGCCGCCGTTATACTTTGAGCAGCCAGCCACGTTTCACAGGTCGTTTCAGGCCCACTCGCCAAACCCCTGCAAACCATTTGCCCTGCAAGTCGCCCAGACCTCAATACTGACCCCCAGCCCCTCTGCGCCCGTGTGTCCTTGTTTCGGAAGGCGCTCCCGCGCCAGCTCGGCCTGGCGGCCGTCGCCGCGGCGGCGGAGGCGGCGCGGCACCGGGTGGACTGCGTGAGGCTGCTGCGGGACCTGCACGTGGCGGAGCTGCAGGCGGAGGTGCGAGGCGATTGGGGGTCAGCCAATCGGTTCCTGAGACGCGATTGCCGGGTTTGCAATCGCGGAAAAAATTGGCCGCACAGACGAGTGATACATGAGCGGCCGAGCTGCGCGGCAGGGGTTGGTGCGTCGGCAGGGGGCTGAGAGCGCTCCTGCGAGGGTGAACAGCGCGAGGGGTTGCGCGCCGCGATCTTGGCGGTCCGCATGCCCCTGCGCCGCATCCTTTGCTGCACACACACCGCAGCCAGCCCGTTGCCCTCGTTTCGTACAGCATGTGATTGACAAACCAACTGCCCGACCCATTCAACTGCCCAAGGTCGCGGCCTCGGACGTGGAGGCGGCAGCCGCCGAGTGCGACGCGGCAGCCGCCGGGCAGCTTCAGGCGGTGCTGGCCCTGGAGGAGGGACGGACGCGGCCGCAGCTGGAGAAAATGGCGGCGGATTTGAGAGGAAAGTGCGCAGACCTCTCCGCGAGGAAGCGGTTTCTGCAGCACCAAGCAGCCAGCAGCACGGCAATCGCCGGGGCTGGCGAGCCTGCGCAGCGACGGCAGCAGCAGCTGCAGCGGGAGCAGGAGCAGCAACATGGGCAGGAGCAGGAGCGGCAGCAGCAGAAACGGCAGGAAGGGCAGGAGGACGGGGGTAGGGCAGAGGCGGTCTCGGCCGCGGCCGCGGCGGGGGCGGCGGCGATCGCGCGGGCCGCGGCGGCGGCGGGCGCGGCAGCGGCAGCGGCAGCAGACTCGGCGGCGGCAGCGGGCGCTGCGGCAGCAGGGCCGTCGGCTGTCGAAGCAGCGACAGCGGGCGCAGCGGAAGAAGCCCCGGCCGCCGCCGCCATCAACACCGCCGCCGACGCCGCAGGCACAAGCGGCGGCGGCAGTGCGGCGGCCGCGGCGGCCGCTGCGGCGGCGGCTGCATTGGCCGGGGCTGATGACACGGAGTGCCCCATCTGCAAATGCGTGCTGGAGGGAGAAGTAATCGTCCTCAACTGCGGCCACGTCTTCTGCAGCGCGTGCGCAGAGGCGGCGCTGGCCGTGGCGCCGGCGTGCCCCTACTGCCGCGCGCGCGTGCTGCCCACCCAGGTGCGTGCCTGGGTTGCCGGGGCATTCACTCAAGCGCTGCGGCTGAGACGCCGTTCCGTGGGAGTGCTGTCGTCATCACCTATGCGCAAGCTGCTTGGTTCCCTTGCTCTAAGTGAGCGCCCGCGTGCCAGATTCCCCGGCGATCTGGCTCCCTGTGCTCAAGAGATCTGGTCGCACCCCTTCATCGCACCCTCTCACCACCCCTGCGGCCGCCGCACGACCGCAGATCTTCCGCGTGGCTGCGTCAGCCCCCCGGGGCGCCCACGATCCGGAAGTCGACCCACCGGAGGGGGCAGGGCTGCGGGCTGTGAGGACTACGGGGCAGTGGATGACCAAGCTGGTGGGGAAGGGGTTCAGGTTTTAGGTTTTAGGCCCAGTTTCCAGGGTTCTTGGTTGTACTCGAGTGGCTGCTGCTTCAAGGGATGCAGCAAGGCGCCAACGGGGCGCTCGGGGCTCTGGGATCTTCGAGCTGGCCGCGGCACGGCCAGCGCGCGGCCGTGCAGCCGGCGGTGTTTCACCTCGTCACCCCCACTCTCATCCCACCCTAGTCCTCGTTCTCATTCCCACCGTCACCTGCGTGTCTTATCCCACCCCGCCAACCTGTCACCCGCGGAAAACCCCACCCCTGCCCGCGCCCCGCGGCCCTAGGAGGGCCTGATGCGCCGCCTGCTCTACCTCGCGCGCACCGCCCCCGACGAGAAGGTGGGGCAGCTTGAACGAATACACACACGCCCTCATCGGCCACGCAATCCCTGCCCCCCACGCACCCTCCCGCCGTCGCGCGGAGGCAGTTGCCGTGCGGCGGCCCCACCAAACGGCCCCGCGACTGACCGCGCGTCTTCCGCATCCTGCCACTGCCGGGCCTCTCGTATGGCCTGCAGCTAACGGCATGCATCTGCTCTGATCTGCTCTGATCTGATATGTTCTACGTCCATTCATTCCCGCAGGTCCTGGTCTTCTCCCAATTCCCGGACGCCCTCGCGCTCGCTGGCAAGGTGGGGCGCGGAGTTGCGCCCCGGATGTCTTTGATTGATGGCAAGAGAGAGACGGCGCGCAACCGACGTGCTCATCCCACTCACAAGATCAACTGGCAGACCTCAGCCAGCCCCCGCGGCTGAGAACGGCGTCCCCACAGAGCCCCTCCTTTGCATTCCTCGCAGCCCCCGAATCACACCAGTCCACGTCCCCCCGACATCCCTGTGCCTATGCGCTCTCCACAGCCCCTGTTTCAAATCCGCCCACACGCCCCCTCAACTTCCACGCCAAGAAACATCTGTGTCTTCGTGTTTTTCACAGACCCTGTTTCAAAATGAACTCCCAACTTGCGCCGCCGTCCCGCAGGCCCTGGACGTCGCTGGCATCCGCCACGTCAGCCTGGCGGGGGGCAGGGCCGGCATGCGGCGCGCGGTGAAGCTCTTTGCGGAGGATCCCGGGGTGAGGGGGCGTGGGCGCGGGCACGTGTTTCTAGGCGGGGATCATTGTTCTCACGCAGCCCCAGCAGGAGGGTCTCCTCTGGGCAGGGGCGCGGCTTGTCTGGTTTTTAAGGAGCGTTTCGCGCACATACGAAGCAGTGCGTCGCGCTGCTTGTTAAGCTTTATGGAGTGTCGAAGCCGAGGCGAAGGTGGGGAGGGCCCCAGGGAAGCTGTAAACGCCGCCTGTTCAATGTGGGATGAGACGCGGCGTGACGGCTTGCTGCCGAGCATCTACCCGCGGCCGGCCCTCGGAAAGCCCCCGCATTGAGATTGCCGTCGTGGTCTAGACGCACCCCCTGAACTACTGACCACTGCACCCTACTCTTCATGATTGTACCATCCCACTGCCCCAGAGCCCCCGCCCTCCGCTGGCTCCAGCCCCCCCCCCCAAG